TAACCACTTAAAGAGCTTCCGAGCAAAGACGATCTATATGTATATTACAAAAAACCTGCCCCACTACCCTCCATCCAAAATAAAATTAATAGTTTAGGTTAACATGAGACGAATTGCCCCAAATGAAAAGTTGCTTTATAGAAATATTGATTAATAGATTTGTCTGTTAATTAGTGCTATAGTTATGCTCCAACACTTTGTTTTAGTATTGCAGGGCAAATAAAACAGCGATCAACAAGGCTGGTTTTACTGCTAGGCACAGTATTCTTGTGCCTATGGGTCATTAACTACACTTTTTCTCCCTTTCACCAACACAAAAACAGTTATCTCATATAGACGTTCACATTTTTCTAAGCTGCTAAGTAAGGGCTAGTAAAATAGGAAAATGTTCTGTGTAAGAGAGGTTATCCTAGAAACAGGGGGTGCCTTTTGGGCACCAAATGTTTTGCATCAATAGCGTGCAGTGATGAAAATTCAGATCTGTGGGAAGCCAATCCGTTTACTGAAGTCAAATCAGTTAAACAGATTTCTCATTGTTAGGTGTACTTTATTGCACCTTTTTTATTCATCAGTATGCTTTGTTCTGCGTTACTGAACACGCTAATAAATGAATAAAATAAATCTGAGATTTTTCCATGTGACGCTGAACATCTAACACAAGTCAAACAGTGCAACAAATTTAAATCTAGAAATTACTTTTGCAATGCAAAGTATAACATTTTATGTGTGTTAGTAAAACTCAGAAAAGCTTTAGTACAGAAGAAATTTGTCCGGTGTATTTTATTGTACAATTTGCTATGTTAAGTCACTTGTCTCTCTGATTACTGGAAAAGGAAAGTGACTGGAAAATTCTGCAGTACAGTTTAGAAAAGTTGCCCATGTAAGCAGCATCGAGATGAGAAATAAAGTAGCCAGTAAATGCCTATGGACACATTACTTTGGCACACTCCCTACATATTTTATGCCCAGGCACTCCTCGGGCACTGCTTCATGCTGCATATTTATGGAAACACAGCACAAAATCCCATGCAGAGAACTGACAAGGAAATAGCTCAATAAATTGTATGTGGCCTACAAAACCAACAGGCAAAGGAAGGATATGTATTTTTAAAGTGAAGCTTACTTGGGATTTGAGATTGTCATGCCAGCAAATGAAAACATTTCTGCCACATCTTTACAGCTTACAAATGCACCGCTTTTGATGGACTCAATGAAACATTGATAAATAGTAAAGTTATTTTAGAGGGAATCTGTGAAAAAAAAAAAGCTCCTAGACATTTAGTAGTTCATCAAATAGCTAAGATGCATATTTTAACCTGAACTTCCATACCCAAATGTATACTAAAGAAAAATACTAAATTGACTCCGAATGAGGGTTATTTTATACCATTATCTTTAACATCTATACACAAAATAATTTTCAGAGCTCCTATTTAGTGATGAGAAACTTTGCTGGCCATCCAGTAAATATAAATCTACAATCTACTTTTCTGATCGAATAATTTGCCAGAGGTCACTGGCATGATGCAAACTGGTAAGGGGTCCTTCACAACCCTTACTATGTCCACTTCCGTTTCCCACCCTCTGATTTGGAATGCAGGGACTTGTGGGAGAAGTACCCTTTGTACCGATTAATGCATTGTAGGCATTTATACATTTTTGGTATGTCATTTTTTTGTCTGACATTTTGACAGTAAAATGTCTGCCTGAATTTTATAATTCAAATCCAAAATGATGCCTGCAAAAAAAAACGTCGCTCTCTTTGAGAGATACACTGGATGGAAAATCTTCAACATCTGACACTTATGGAAATATTGGATGAGTGGTCCCTCTCTGTGTTTGCACCCATATATATCTATTTTGTGCATTTTTGAACATTTACGGTGCAGAAAAATGCAACTTGCTGTCCTTTTTTTCACTGTACTGAAATGGTGTGAACTATGCCCATAGGATAACCTGGATTTTGGACAGTCTATGCAGTGGCAATGCAGCCAAACACTCACCTGACTACATCTGGTGTTAATGGGCCCTAAATGTCAAGTCATATCTATAAATGGTAAAGAACATAAAAGAAAAGCATGTCATATATATATATATATATATATATATATATACATACACACATACAGTGCATTCACATATATATGCACCTTGTTAATAAGAGCATTCAGAGGAGAATGGCCAGATTTGTTTAACTAATAGGAAGTCCACAATTGTCATACGCAGTGTGAATCCATGAAACTATCTTGTCTTGTGTTAGCAGTGAAGGCTGATGGTGTAATGGGATGGAGAATGTTTTCATGGTCTACAATAAGCCTTGTACATGTGGGCTGAAAATTGGGGACAATCGGTCAGTTCAGCAAGAACCGGCTGACTTTCTGCCCATGTGTACAGCTGTCTGTTCTACAGAAGCCAGTCTTATGACCAGCTTCTGTCAAACAGGCATGCTGGAAAACCAGCATCCGACCAGCATTCCATCAGTGTGTTTTGGTGAGGGGGCAGTCCTCCTGTGAGAACACAAAGGCACAGCGGTGGAGATCGCTTCACTAACATGCTTGTGTTAGTACTGTGATCTCTCTTTATCTTTTTTGGTCAGCTCACTCTATTGAACAGAGAAAAAAACTTCTAGTGTGTACCCAACTTTTGGCTCCTTACCATCAGGTGCCACTTTGTATTAGTACATTGTTGCTGACCTAGTACATTCATTTGCAAGTACTAGACAGGTGTAGCTATTAAAGTGACCAGTGTGTGTGTGTGTATGTGTGTTCATGTGCATGAGAGTGCTAAAATATTTGAAAATCACATTGTTGTCATTCCTATAACTAGTTAAACTGTATGCCTCAACAAAGATTTAGTTATAATGAACTATTTTTATATGTATGCTGTATTAACATAATTTCTTTAATGGTTTCTATTTGTCCAAATTTGTAAATCACCAATTTTGCATAAAGCTTGTCCCCATCAATGCGAAACAACAGCTGGTTGCAACTGTCACTGTTATCATGTTTTATCTTTACATTTGCTTTACCATATTTTTATGTTATACAGTAAGATAATCTAAAAAAGAAAATACAGAGCCAGCTTCTATCTATTGAAAGAATGGGGAAAGTCTCAGTACCTACTGGTTAAGCACGTTAAAATTATTTAAGAAGTTCATACAGGTCATGCATTTCAATTATTTGTTCAAAGCAGACTGCAATTAAGGCTTGCAAACAAGGCTTTTGAATGCAAAGTCAGACAATTAAAATGTTTCATGAGTGCATTAAAGAAAGAAGTTCTGAATTAGTACTTTGAATACACAAGATCTCTCCTCTCTCTAATCTCCGTTCCCTTTCACTCTTTGAAAGAGAAAGTACAGAGATATTTTTTTCCTGACTGATCTTGAGTAGATTGAATCAACCTAATCTTCTACTTGTACATCTGAATGTCTTTTTGCTCCATGAAGGATCATCTCTGTTGCTTTCTAATAGCCCAGGTGCAAAAAAACTTTGTTGGAGTCTGGCCTCTTCTCATAGGGGGGTCATAAATCACTTTAAACATCTCTCCCCTTTCATGCTATTGCCTGACTCTTCTTTCCTCCTCCTTTGAAGAAGCATGGCTGTTTGAGCTTGTGATTTGTGTGACACTGGCTGCTGCTTCTGTATTTGGCTAACAAGATAAAATGTGGGAGGACCAGTTATAGAAATGTAAAGTTTATGTGACAAAGAAAACAGACTGTTACCAATGGCTGCTTAATATATGGCCTGCCCTCTCATTGCAAACTTAGGATTGTAAAAGCTATACAGCTATATACTAAACTTTAGTCATTAACAATATAAGTTGTTTTTAGAATACAAAGACCCCTTTTATTAAAGAAATTAGTTATCTTAGATTGATGCAACTGCCTTTGGTAAACCAGTTTATGAATAATTAAAGTAAATGTGTTATAAAGCAAACCACTTGTGTGAGAAGGATCTGATGAAGGCAGCTATTCCATAGTCATGAATACCACAAGAATGTCTGCTGGATTTTTCCACTTTGGGCTTTAGAGTGACTCTGTAACAAAAAAAGACAAAAAAAAAGCCTGCAAAAGAATGGGGATAATGCTTACCTACCCTGATAACTATTCTTCCTATATCTCTACACTGGCCAACTAATCTTTGGCATCTGACACTTCTGGATATTTTGGGTGCCTGCGTCACCCTCTGCACACCATGGTTCCACCTGTTGGCTGCTAAACCACTAATAAGTCTAAAGATACATTAGAGACATATCAGCTAGAGGGCATGGAATGCAGGTACCTGACACACACATAAAAGTGTTGGATGCTGAAGATTCCATGCAGTGAGGGACTCAAGCATCCAACAAATCTCAAAGTGTCAGATGTTAAAATTGTCCACCTGCTGGAGTAAGAGAGAAAATATCATATCATGTAGTTGTACATTTGCTTTCTGACATGTTCTTTCAGCTTTCAGTGCTATCACACTTTGATTGAAAATTGCGTGGTCATGCAACACTGCACCTATATGAATTTTTTTAGCAAGTTTTTGAGACAGATAAAACTTTGTTTTGGTGGTATTTATTCACCACTGGGATTTTTTTTTTTTTTGCTATATAAATGAAAAAGTCCCAAAATTTTTATAAAAAGTGTTTTTCTTATAAAATTTTGCAAATAAATAATCTTTCTTCATAAATCTTGGCCAAAATGTATTCAGTTATCTTTTAGTTTAAAAAAAATCCAAATTAGTTTATAACCAAAAATTATAATTTTTCCAAAATTTTCATTTTGCATTTTTATTTTTTCTTATATTATTACTTATGTTTTTTTAACATACTGTCACCCTAGCATTACAGTGTCACCATAGTGACACTGTACTACCTGTGGGGGGTGATGAAGATTTTTTTTTTTTTTTTTACACTGATTGCTTTTATACTCATGAAGGCTGTAAAAGCAATAATTTCTCCTTCTCTCTGGCTGCATTCTTGCAGCCATTGAGAAATACTGTGAGAGCTGTGATTGGTCACAGCTTGTCACATGGTACAAGGCTGTTGTGAATAGTCCTGTACCATGTGACCTCTGTGATCATTCACAGAATTCACACGTAGTAAGCATTGATGTCAGACGTGACACCTTGCCAGGGGCGGACTGATAATTTGGAAACTCGGGCACTGCCCGAGGGCCCGGGGTCAGTAGGGGGCTGCATGAGATACCCCTGGTACCTTTTTCATAGGCTTTTTTGAGTTTGGGCAAGGACACAGGGCCCCATGATCCCCTATTGCCCGGAGGCCCCATGAGTTGTCAGTCCGCCCCTGCACCTTGCTTACTACTATTCATGTGATCACTGATTGGCTAATCAGTGACCACGTGATCGAGACCTCACACAGAGGTCCCGTACAGCGATTGGTGTTCCGGAGGACACAGCGGGCACCAGATTGCAGTGCCGCCCGCTCCCAGAAGGCCAGGTGGGAAAGTGGTTAAAAGTCAGCAGCTGCGAATACTATAGTAGTAAATTTAAAAAAAGTACGAATTGGAATACAGCATATTTTGCACCCATTTGCATGAGCTCTAAATGTGTATTTCTACCTTTGCAGCCAATTTTTTGAAACCCTCACCTTGTGTATGTTAGGCTCCATACACACTGGGCTTAAAAAAAAACACCAGTTCCTTGGCAGAAAAAAACACGGATATGGATCATATTTGTACACAGTTTAGGAGAGTTAATATTTTTTTCTGCCAGAAAGCTCCAATCAAAAACACAAACCAGAAGGATTTTTTTCCAGCCTTTAAACGGTGAGCTTAAAATATGCCTCTCTAATTGTCCTAATGTGCATGGATACATAGGATAATATTGAGCTGCTTTTAAAGGCAAAACACAAAACTCCAGTAGAATTAGTGATTTTTAAGCCAGTGTTCATGGCAGCCTTATTCATTTCCAATCACAGAGTATATGTTAAAATAATATTAAAAAATATTTCTTACCTTTCCAGTTGTTTCTTTGTTGCAGGTTTATTTATAGGATTCTAATGGCAGCTTGTACGGTTTAGTATAGCTTGCAATATGTAACAAGGAACAGACAGGACAAATTTGTTTAAAAGTGCATTAACATGTACCACCAAGTTTGAGATCTTTAACCCTTTGTTAGGACAGACAGTGTTCACATCTAGTTTACAAAAGATTGAGATCTGCCAGCATAGTAAAGACATGGCTAATAATGGAAAATGTAACTCTCCATCCCTCTTTTGTAACATCCACAGGGAAAAGAGAAAACCTAGATACAATTCTTCAGAAAGTAGGGGTTCGTGTACACTAGATACTCACTAGGAGCCTTTCTCCTGCAGCAGAAACATTCTACTCTGGTAGATGCTTGTGAGCTGCATTTACCCATGTTTAGCCTTAGCAAAAGCTTGGGCATTCATTTATTTCATTTGCCAGAATAATAATGTATTCTGTCGATTGCAATTAATTAACACTCAACCGCTAAACACAACTAGCATTGACACATGTTTAAATGTGTTTACACTCATTTTTGCCACGTCAAGCATTTTTCTGCCAAACTCTCTTCTACTGAATGTGATTCTTCGGCGTTCAATAGAGGAGCATTTTACTGCCGCTAAGCTTTGCTGCTCCTAAACTCTGGTAAAAGCCCATGGGGTTGATTTACTAAAGGCAAATATATTGTGCAATGCAAGATCCCAGGATCTGAGTGGAAGGTCTGAAATGAGGCGAAGCTCTGCTGATTTCATTCACCCGATCATGTGCAAGCAAAAAATGCTGTTTTTTTTAATTTTCCATGCATGTTCACTTCAGAACTAGAAAAAATGCACTTGCAGTTTTCAGTCTATCTGGCTTTAGTAAATCAACTCCTATGTGTGCATGGACACATAAGGGTTGATTTACAAAACCTGGAGAGGGCAAACTCTGGTGCAGCTGTGCATGGTAGCCAATTCTCTTCTAACTTCAGCTTGTTCAATAAAGCTTTGACAAAAAAAATCTGGAAGCTGATTGGTTTCTATGCAGAGCTGCACCAGATTTTGCACTCTCCAGTTTTAGTAAATCAATCTCATAGACTATTACTGAGTTGTTTTCAGAGGCTTTGGCAAAAAAAGCTCCAAAATTTTTTTGGAGGAAGCCTGCATGCCCTGACATTAAACCGCCGGATAAGGGAGGTCCGGCGGCCACCATACTTACACCAGCTGGTCAGTGCTCATAGCAGTTCTTTAGGTTGAATTGTTGTACCCACATTAGGAATTTGCCGCATGTATGTTCGCATTCTAACCACATTTCATACATTTAATAAATGTATTAGATTATTAAAATAATACACTATGGACATCTCCTTGTGTTGCTCTTTTGCGAGCTTTTAATCCCCCAGAGCCCCCCTCCCCCCCAGTGGTGACCATTCCATTACCCGGAAGAGGCTGCGCCCGTATCGTTAAAGGGATCCTCCAGATACAGCACCTACATTGACGTCTAATCATCCACCCCGGGCTGTCATCTCCAATACCATCCTTAAGAGGGACTACGGGCGGATCGTCATTGATATACACACTGCGCATATTCTATGCGTATCCAGTGAGTGCGCACTTTAAGTATATGTTTGCCGCTCGCTTGGACTGTGGGATTACACCATATCCGGATTAGCACAAGTCACTTTGGTCACACCATTATACTTTGTCTTCATCATTTTTTGGAGTATATGTGGTTTATATATTTTTTGGAGTCAATCTATTTAACCTCCCTGGCGGTATGATTATTTCAGATTTTTGGTGCTGAAAGCGGTACCATTTTTTTGCATGGAAATATGTATTTTTTTTATTGTAGGCTGTCATTTTTAGGAAAAACTCACTGAAATCTGTCCGAACAAGAGTCTAGTAAACATCCCGGGTATGATAAAATTTGAAACACAAAATCATAAATTATAATTTAATAAATAATCATAAAAATAATAAAAAATTTAATTCAATAATATAATCAAACCAAAAACACTGAAATGTGAAATATAGCGCCAAGATCGCACATTGCTGAGCTCAGTCGCAAAATCGTCGCAAAATCGTTTTCAGTGATGACGAATTTCCCCCACGAATCATTATCACTCAATTCTGCAAGTGGTTCTGATTTACTATCGCTGTTCTCTAGCTGATCTAAACCGCTTTTGACCTAAAGGGACACTTTTTGGACGCCATGGATATTTCTCAGTTTCCAGGCAGAAAGAACAGACAAAATGCAGGCAGGGCGCAGGACAAAGCACTAGGGACAATATGTATGTGAAATTGGTTGAGACAGCAATGTTTTACTATGTAAAATGTAAAAAAAAAAAAAAAGACATTTTTTAAAATGTTTAAATTTCCCGCCGCCGGCGGCGGGGCGCCCGTACGTCCCGACGTCACAGGGACAGGACACAGAAGCCGGATGCCGGCATCGGCCGAAGGAGATGGCCGGGGACGCTGCAGGGGACACATCGTGGGAGCGCAGGGTAAGGTAAGTGAAGAACAAATGCCGGAGCAGTGCCGCAGGGTAATTCCCGAGTGTAGCTCGGGGTTACCGCTTTTGGTACTGAAATGTTACCCCGAGCTACACTCGGGAATACCGCCAGGGAGGTTAATACATTGAGTTTTATGTATATTTAATCCAGTACCTCAGTGCTGCACAATTGTTTTATATATTGTTTAGGAACAAGCTCTACAAATCAAATGGACATCTCCCCAATAATTCTAACAAAGATTCCCAAAGGAACATAGTAGACCATGTTCTCACTTTCATACTATGCTCTTGATAAATTACCTCCATTATCTTTACTAGGGGTACTATTTTTGAAAATTGGAAGCTTGTAGTGCCACCTTCAAGGAAGAGAAGAAGAATGTCTATGAAACACCCTGTGATTCAATGAAGTGCAATACAAATGGTAAATCCTAGAGCTTGGCCTGAAAGGCTTCCTAATGCTGAAAGTGTTGGTTAACTAAACAAGCAAATGTACACTTTGTTTGAATAACATGTACAGTAGTGTTACATTGTTGTTCAGCCCTTTACATATTGGCACATTAGTGGTCTGTTTAACTTGGTACTAAGGTGTTAGTTACTTGGATTATTTATGTTAGTAGCAGAATTTTCTACAACACAAGGGCAATTTCCTTCTCAATTGTATGCCAATTAGCCAGGGTGGAAGCAGTAGGGGTACTAGAGCTGAAAGGCAATTGTGATGCATAGAGGTTGTTTGCTGTTCATGGTTTGATGTCAATCTCTTAATTATTCACAGCTGTCTTTACCATCATTATCCTTTAGGACACTGAAAACCAATATTATGTATGTCAATATTTTGTAGTCAATCAATACAGCTCAATAAAAACTAATGAAAAGAAAAGGACAAGAAAAAAGAAGCATATACATACTGCACAGAACACAAACAATTGCTGATTTCTAGAAAATGTGCTGCGTACACTAAATGACTCAGAGAGGTTTATTTATTAAAGCTGGAGAGTGCAAAATCAGGCTCAGTTCTGCATAGAAACCAGTCAGCTTCCGACCTCACAACCTCAGCTTGTTCAATTAAGCTTTAGCAATAAAACCTGAAATCTGATTGGTTTCTATGCAGATGTTAGTCTAAATTTTGCACTCTCCAGCTTTAGTAAATACACCCCAGAGTATTTGGCACAGTCAAAACCAGTCAAGACCCCTTGGAAATATATGAAAAAATATTTACTCTTAGGCTAAATTTACAAATGAAACAATCTCACTTAATATGACCCAATATGCTCCAAGAATTTGATACACTGATTTTATATAGATAGAGTAGGGAGGGTTGGACCCACTGGGAGTTAGTTTTATGTTTTTATTGTTGACTCTGGTCTTGTTGGGATGATTTCTTCTATCTCCCCAAATAAACAACATCAAGTTAAAGGAAATCCCTCCAAACTAAGGGCAAGGGCCACTTCTGAATTTTTTTTCTGCATTGCAAGCTGTCCTTACTTATTCTTTATGGTGAAAACTGTAACATTTCAGGTGGCTTTCTATCCCTGGTACAGCAGTCACCAGAATGAACTGTGAATCTTCCAAACGAGAACACTGACATCAATAAAAGGTTCTAACCCTACCTCAGTCTTGTAAACAAATATTTGAGTCAAGTTTCACTTACCCTATTGTTTAATAAACTAAATTGACCATATATTCAAACCCCACACTTTTTATAATTAACATTTTGCAATTAACAAAAGTTTTTAACTTATTTTGGGAAATTATAGGAAATATTCAGGCACAGCACCAGGCACCTATTTCTTATTGCTTTATGTATTTTCAATAACAAATTGAACCTGAACCCCTGAACTAAGAATTAGTCAGAGAACCTATTTGATGGCACCAATATATGATTAAGATATAATATTTTAACATTTAGATCATTTGTTCAGTATCCTGTAAGCATTTTTGTTTTAAAAAAAAGGTTATGATTACATTTCCTTGCTAAAGAATATATTAACTTTTGTTCATTTATCTGCAGTGGCATATCATTATTAAAGAATAGATCTACCTTAATCTTCATTTCATCTAATGAATGCATAATTTGGAAGAATTAGTTATCCTTTGCACTCCAAGTTGTACCTTATTAAATTAGACAGAATCAACACCATCTGAATAGCTGTGAATGCATTAAAATAATCCTACTGTAAAATCACCAACCTTTTTTGAGAACAGTTGATAATCTAATACTTGGTGGTTAAGACACATAGAGATCTGTTGACTGAAGGATCATGGCTACAAACTTGGGCACAACCTGTATTATATGTATCACCATATTTAATTTGTCAAAGAAAAAGTCTTTGATTGTGTCTCGATTGTATATTAATTATGGTTAATTTTATATTTATATTGTAATAAATCCTACAGTGGATGAAATGTTTTAACAGAAAACATATATCAGAACAAATGAATGCTTTTACTATAGTCTGATGTTGGACAATTAAATCTGCTGTATAGTGAAGACAATGTATCCATAATTCTAACTATATGTTTGTACATCATAAAGATATTTAATGAGAAGTAACCATACATGCAGCAGACATATGTTTGCATGTAATCCTCAGAACAGGTCACATCATTGTGCATGGAGAGAATATGTTGATTCCTGTGATTATCCAGCCTTGTGTGTCTGGAAGTGGTTGCAGCTCATCCACCATCAGTTGTTTGGCCCATAAATACACATAAGGCCATAGTTAGGCTGCAAGAAGCTATATGATCTTGGCAAACAAAACAGCCACATGTATGGCCCAATCTATAAGACTTGGTAACTTAAAGTTACTTAATTAAGTCTTGATATGAAGATCACTTCAGGCTAGGGGCAGACTGGCCATTTGAAAACTTGGGCACTGCCCGAGGGCCCGGGGTCAGTAGGGCCATTGCTGTAATGTAAAATATAAAGATGTTAGCAGAGAATTATTATGAGAATACCATATTTCCACTATCTGTCTAATATACTATTAATACATTAAACACTGAATATTTATTCTATTTATAAAAAGCTGACCAGATCAGGGGCGGACTGACCATTTGGAAACTCGGGCACTGCCCGAGGGCCCGGGGTCAGTAGGGGGCCCCATGAGATGCCCCTGGTACCTTTTTCATAGGCTTTTTTTGAGTTTGGGCAAGGACACAGGGGCCCCATGATCCCCTATTGCACGGGGGCCCCATGAGTTGTCAGTCTGCCCCTGCTTCAGGCTTGCCCCTTTTGCAGGTAAAGTTATTTAAAATATTAAAAATAAGTGCATATACTGTTTAAAATCCAGTAATGCACTGTCCCACCCTGCTCTGCACATGCTCAGTTGCTCTCTATTCTCTGCACTGTACCTAAAATTAGAGCCACTAGAGGCTGATCAGCTGACAGCTTTAAGATTTACTGTTGCTAAAGAGGGAAGAAAGCAGCAGGAATGACACCGACTTTGCAGAGAGAACACAGATTAGGGAGGGAGAAAATAAAATTAGGAGAGATGACAGATATGGCCGCGGCGTCCGGACATGTGTCACCGGAAATGACGAACCGACGCGTTGCTTCACGTGCGTCGTTACAACCCTGATGAAGTCACGACGCACGTGACGCAACACGTTGGTTCGTCATTTCCGGTGGCGCATGTCCGGATGCCGTGGCCATATTGGATTCCCTAGTACCATGCAAGTACACCCATAGGATGTGGTAAAAGGCTTTTTTCACTGGGATTAAGATGTGAGTGCAATATCTTATTGTTTTAATCTCTAAATAAATTGAATTACTACACTATGGAAAGGTTTTCTGTATTCACTTATGTGCCCTGGAGTGGAGATGCAAGTGAGGAGATTCAGTAAGGAGGAGCCAGTTAAAGTGCACCTGGATAAGGAGCTTACCTAAGAGGATAGACCAATGAGGTGATAACAGCTTTTTGGCCCTGTGTGGGTCAGCATGGGGAGGTGAGCTGCATTGCTGCCGTTTGGAGAATTTAATTTTCACATAAGAGTGGAGAACACGGTTTTTGAAACACAGATTCACATGCATGGACTTTTTTCACTAATGATTTATGCATTGTTTATTTGTTTATGGCACTAATGAATGTTAATTAGTTCATTCATGTATTGTGGCTTATAGTCACTGGTTTGTTTGTTCACTGCTTATCTTAGTCTGTGGAGTTTCAATTTTGAGTCCAGTCAGTTCACTTAATAACATTTTTTTTTTCTCACTGTGTGTTAGTCCACAATTTATTATTAACTAACACTATTGGTTTTTCACTAATTTAATCTCCCACGGAGGGAAGTGCTATTAATGTGGATTGTGGTCATTATCACTGAGCACTTTTTTGGCACGGATTTATTTTTATGTCATTTAATTCTATTTAGCGCTTCACTATTTTTTAAGTTTTAGTAAATAAACACACAGACACTTTTTGACTAGCCATATAAATAAAAAAAAACACAAAAAAGTCCCACAATGTAAATCTGCTGTCAATCACACTGTCACAATGAACAATGCCTGATGCCAGCCAAAAGAAAAAAATCCCACCAATCCTCACACAATCCACTCCCATCATTTACTCATGCCACATGACATCTTCAAAGTCAAGCCTCTAAAAGTAAATAAAGGGATGAGGTCTCCCAGGTGACATCACTGACCAAATATAGACATGACAGAGCAACATGACCAAAACTAATCAGCCAGGAGCTGTCATTTACTGACAATTTATTTTCTTGTAAATGTCAGTTTGTCTGTAGTAGGTTATATACATCTTACAGATGTGCCAGTTCACAGGCAGGTTCAAGGCATCCCCCAGGTAAATTATTTAAAGGAATTTTAAGTTTTTAATGTTTCACTTAAAGAATTATTAAAATCATTGCTCCCTGCAAAATAAAATGGTAAAAAGCATATTTTTAAATGTCCCCCAGGGCATTGCCCATCCCTCCATGCTATTTGTTTGACAGTCCCTTGCCTATTAGTCTGTTTAATGGCCATTACTGTTTTTCAACATTCACTGGTAAAGTTGATCCAGGGAATTTCCAATTGCCTCTTGGGGGATCAGGAAGGATTTTTTTTCTCAGCAGGTGCAAATTGGATCATGCTTTGCTGGGTTTTTTTTTTTTTGCCTTCCTCTGGATCAACTGTGGGTATGGGATTATAACTTTTTTTTTTTTTTCCTATGGTTGAACTGGATGGCGTTTTGACTTTTTTCAGCCAGACTAACTACGTAACTGACTATACTGACAGTAGAGTTTGGATTCAACTCCCGACCTTTAGTTATGTTCTGCAAGCCCACTACAAACTAAACCATGTTGCATGCTTAGATAAGGGTTTGGTATGGATTTTGGCGGGACCTGATTCATGATGAATTTACACCATGGGTAATTTTTGTTTAAATAAATTACGTTATTGTGGTGTATCTGTGGTTACTATGTACTTTTTTTTTAACTATGTACCCCTTATCAATTTACATTGGAGGTGGATATCTAGGAGTTCCCTCATGTTAAAGGGGGTTTCCAGATTCCCAAAAGTTCACCTCTCAGACTCCCACATCTACTAGATCAGAGAAGAGAAGAAAATGGCCTAAGTCCTCATCAACATGGGGACAAAATGCTATACTGGAGGGGTGCTGCAAGGTCATTAGTACAGTGTCAATGCTTTTTATTAGCACTGATCACTCTATTGGTGTCACTGGGGATGTCAGTGGCAGTTAGTCAATTCCCCCCCAGTGTCAGAATGCCCCGACGCAGTCCCGCTATAAGTCGCAGATCGCTGCCATTACTAATATTTAAGAACAAAACATTCCAGTATATATACTGCCATTTTTAGATTCTATAACTTTCACGTAAACTGATTAATTTACAAGTATTGGAATTTTTTTTAGCAAAGACATGTAGCAGAATACATTTTGGCCTAAATTTACGACGAAATTTAATTTTTAAAACATTTTTACTGGATATGTTTTATAGCAAAAAGTCCAAATTATTGTGTTATTTTTTCAAAATTGTCTGTCTTTTTTTGTTTATAGCACAAACAAAAAACTACACGGGATCAAATACTACCAAAAGAAAGCTCTATTTTTGGGAAAAAAGGATGCAAATTTCATTGGGGTGCAGCGTTGCATGACCGTTAAAGTAATTCAGCGCCATATCGCAAAAAATGGCCTGGTCAGGAAGGGGGGTAAATCCTCTGAAGGGCAAGTGGTGAAAGGACCTACTCCTTGCCGATTGGTATATTTTTGCATAGGCACGTGTTCTCAATTACAATGCCTTGCTACTCATGCCCTTTTTCAAACATAGCTTAGGCTTCCATAAACCTCAGTGGGGTTTAGACGTCATGTTCAGGGTTTTTGGATTACAGGCTGGGTGCAGTGAACATCCAGCAAACTATACCCAAGCCAGTTAGCTTATCACTAATTTTAACTAGAATGATAAGATCACTTTAAAGCATGGAAGAAGGATGGAAAAATGATGGAAGAGATGTTCAGGAAAGATATATAGCATCAGTAAAAGAGCATATTGTATATGTATGTCTGATCCAGCATGCATTCTGGAATAATGGCTCTTTTTATGCTCTAATTTTTATACCAAGAAAAATTTGGATAAAGTACTAAAGATTAGATAACCATGTAAATATGATTGTTTACCTCACTGCCAAAAAGGAATGTACATTATTTCACCCGTTGTATTAAAATGAAAATGACAATTGAGTAGGCTGTGAATTAGATACAGTTGATAAATGTGAACTTTGCGTATGAGGGTAACCTGTTATTTGTACTCTACTTTATGAACATTTGAAACATATCCAAGTGATGCAATACTTCCCAGTATTATGCTAATGAGAGAAAACCATTCTATCACCAGCTGCTTTGGGCTCTGAGCTGTTTCAAGAATGTATATAGTGAGATCCTTTACATTGTTTAACTGTTTTCAGTTTAGGCTACTGAAACAAAGTTTGAAACTTTTGTGCAATTCATCAGGTTGTCAAATGTTATGTTTTAAAGGTGCCGATTTAACCACATGTTCCAACATTTTAGCACATTATATTGCCATGCTTAGGACCTGATTTATGACTTTTTGTGGAATCTAGTCTTTACAAAACAATAAATCCACACTTGCAAACAACTTCAAAGCAACCCAGTTTTTCAAGGTGACAATGTGCTTAAGGGAAGATTGGCAGATAAGTGAGATATTTCTAGCGGTTAGTCTTATAGGCAAATATATATATTCACTTCCAGGACAATATTTATAAAAATAATTATTTTTCTCAAGTAACTATGCAGCAAGAACCATTGGCTGTTATCACAGGTATGACTTGTAATTACAGAACCATTTATTTTTTTCATTTTACATAGAGTTGTTTCAGGCTTATAGAGCCATAAGCAGTGCATTAAACGTTATGTAAACCAAGGCTATCACTGAGTAGAACCTTTAAGCAATGCAAACATATCATCAGTTAGCTTATAAGCCTGAAATAAATGTTATAATAAAAATACAGGATTGCTTTCTCTTAATCTATTTGCCATTTTGAGTCCACCTAAACTGATCTTAGACAAACCTTTCCCAACCTTATGAAAACTGCAAAACCCTTAACAACTTTTCCAGGTCTCAGGGAGCATTAGAGTTAATTTACTAAAACTGGAGAGTGCAAAATCTGGTGCAGCTCTGTATGGTATCCAATCAGCTTCTAACTTCAGCTTGTTCAATTAAAAGAGAAGTGTGGACTTAAAAAAAATAAAATAATATATATATATATATATATATATATATATACTGTATATATATATATATATATATATATATACTCTCACCTAGGTAGATGCAGCATCAGTCCGATGCTGCATCTATCCCCCACTAGCTCTGCAGTGAGAACTGAATGATCAAACTCCGCTGATTGCTCAGTTCTCCCCCTCTGCTCTGACTGAAGAGCTGTGACTGTCAGTCTCCGTCTCTCTGTTTTGCCCCTCCAGCGCACACTGGAGTGCTGGGCTGCGGGAGGGGTTGGCTCAGACTCTCAGAAAATCACTGAGTGGCTGAGCCAAATGCTACTCTAGGCTTCTAGGTGGATCCCAATCATATGGTTGGGATCTTTTCAAAGCCCAGACCAGTGTATTGATGTCAGTTAACAGCAGACTTTAGCCCACTGTCAACTGAAAACAGATCACAGGAATGCAGAACGAACTGCACTCCTGTGACCTACAGAAGAAGTGAATCC